GTCCATTTATTAAATACCCGAAAGTTTTGGGTCGGGTCGGGTATCTTCAGAATCGAACCGAACCGACCCACGGACAGCCCTACAACCGGCCCCTCACAACATGGGACGTGGGGGGGAATTTTTTTTTATAAAAATAGAACAAAAATATACAATTTGGCGGGTATGGGAAGGGACCATATATATATATATATATATATAAGAAATTAATTGACAATGATAAAATTTGAGAAAATATATAATTAAAAAAATTGATAATAAATTATTGGTCCAATGATATGTGTAGTTAAAATTAATTCTTGATTCTGATTCAAATTTTTAAGAACTTTTTAAATTTTTCCAAATAAGCACCAAAACTCTAATGAAGAATATAATTTGTCCAATTTCCAAGGAGTGATCAAATTTAAATTCCAAGGTTAAAATTTAACTTCGCTTGGAAATGTAAAATAGTAATCCATATATAAAAACTTGAAATATTGCTCTTATCATTTGTAAAGAAGCTTGTCTATTTCTTTTAACACTCAAAAGAAAAAAAGACATAAATTTAAAAAATAAAATAAAAAGAGAAACAATAATACTGTTTCTAACTCACTTATATTCAACCATTTTGCAACAGATATATAAAGGGCGACTTGAGCAGAAATCTCACCCATTTTGAATATGCGTTTGTACCCAGTTAGGCACACATTGTAAATGGAAAAAAAAAAAGAAGAAGAAGAAGAAACAACTTGAGAACCTTATAGTTCGTCATGAGAATCTACAGTCACCACAGGAATTTCCATCTGGTATTCAAGAAGATACCTAACGACCAATGAAGCGTGCATTGCAGCGCCATAAGGAAGTCCGTCTTCGCTTAATCGAAAATATGGTGAATGTGGTAATGGGTTCTGTTTCATTGTTTCATCTTTCATTCCTAGGAAGAAGAAGTAGCCAGGTATTACCTCTTGGTAAAACGCAAAATCCTCAGAACCCATTAAGGGTTGCATGTCTTTGACTCCATCAGAGCCAAACATATTGCCTGCAACTTTCTGGAAGAGTTTATGCAAGTCTTTGTCATTTACACTTGGAGGGAATAAAGGTTTCTCATTCGAGAAAAAATTAACAGTTGCATTGCATCTTTGTACAGCAGCTTGTCCCATAATTACCTGTAAATGAGGAACATTGGCTTCTTTATACAGCTCGGTGAAACACATGATGAACATTAGCAAATGCAAAGCAGAATATCGCATCTTGGGCACTACATAAGTAGGAAGTCGTGTGATTTGAAGAAATGGTTTCTGGGGCAAAAAATGCAGGTTTAAAACCCAATATTAAACTGCAGTCGATGTATTGTCCAATATCATCCAGTCCACTTTACCAAAGATGTGAGAATAGTTCGCAGGGTGAAAAGGGAAGAATGTGTTTTTGTTGACCGCTGTGTGGCTTGGCACCAAGACCTACAGAAAAAAGAACTTCGGCATTTTCTTTCTCGGGTTTGAGTTCAAGATTTGGATTGACTCCACATGATTTTATGGCATGCAATATTACGAAGTAGGTCAATGACATGACAATATGGCAAAGACAGTAAATAATAAACATGTCAAGTAATTAATCCATCAGAATATTTAGTACATGATCCTATTTCATGTTACCTCCTCTATTCGCTGCTTAAGTTGGATCAAGCTTTCCTTTGAGAAGGCTCGGAATGTGCCACCGATGGTTACATAATCAGGAATGACATTAAATGCACCGCCTCCTTGAAATTTAGCCACAGTAACAACCTGTATAAGAAAATGGAGTTAAACGGAACTGTAGCACTAGATGTTCCTTCCATTAAAGAGTCGAGACATTAATGCCAGCAATAAGACGTTTCCCTATGATTTTTTCAGTGAGACTCCAGAAGTAAAGTTGGAACTGCAATTTCACAAATGTTGGAAAATTATCGTGAAGGAAGAACGAAAATTAAATGAGAAACTTGGTTCACACAAGAAGACCTGAAGATGCACTTATTTTACAACCCAACAACAGAAAAGAGATTGCCTTCTGGAAACACTAGCCTGGCTGTTTAACCAAAATAATTTTCTGAACTCACACACAAAAGATACAGATATAACAAGAGCGGGTGGACTGAGAGAGAGAGTGAAGGACCTGAGAGTCAAGGGGGTCAGCTTCCCGAGAGACAAGATGCTGTAAGCTGACTATCACATTTGAAGCAGCCAATATAGGGTCAATTGAGTGCTGAGGAATGGCTGCATGGCCCCCTTTTCCACTTATTACAGATTCAAAAAAACCACTACCAGCCAAAAGAGGGCCAGATCGAGATTCAACTTCAGCCAACGGCACATGAGAAGCTACATGGAGCCCAAAGATGGCTTCAACATTCTCTAAAGCTCCAGCATCTATCATTTTCTTTGCTCCTCCACCTCCTTCCTCTGCCGGTTGGAAAACGAGAAGAACGGTTCCCTGTTAAAATCAGAAAGACCAAGAAAGATTCATCTGTGGACTGAGGGAAACTATCTCCATCTGGGGCGATGAATGCAATTGAGCCAGACACATCATTGATTAGGAAGAAAGACTCCCAGCAACAACACTAGATAAGTATATGGATTTTAGAAATCTTAGCGCATGTTTAGCATGCTTAAAAGTCGGTAAAACTTAATTTTAAATAAATTTTTGTCTCTTAAAATGTTTGGATATGTTACTTTTCCTTATAATTAAAAAATGGTTAATTATTTAGACACAAAAGTAGGGGTTAGTTTCAAAACAAATAACTTCCTTACTTCCAACTTTGACCAATAAAATAATTATTTATTTTATAACTGCTTTACTTAGACATAAACTCGTTAAACTTAGCCAAACATGAACTGGTTTTCTTCCAAAAGATTTTCTCCCTTCCAATGTAAAGCTACATGCATGCCTCTTTGGTTACACATTAAAGATGACACAGTTTCCCAAATACTATGGGTCTGTTCTTTTTATCATTTTCAAACCGTTTTCTGTTTTCGATTTTCCAAAACAGTAAAAACGCGTTCTCTTTCCTATTTTCGAAAACGTCCTTTTGAAAACAAATTAAAAATTTATAAAGAAAACCAAAAACGACAAATTCGTCGTTTTGGGTGTTTTCAGATATAATCAAGTCAAAATTTTCAAAACACGTTTTGGATGTTTTCAAAATAATTTTTCAAAATGCCAAAAAGAACACATTTTCAACAATCTCAAAATGAACACTCAAAACACAAAATTGAAACATAAAGAGAACATCCCCGATAAGTTTCTAGATATTCAAATCAAAATTCGACAAAAGTCCAGCACACAAGACTCTAGGAACTAACATTAACACCTAATAATTCATTGCATAAACATCAATACTAAGTCACCAAAGGCAATCTTTTATTGCCTGCATTGGAAAGTTAATTATGCTCCTGCATCATCTAGAAGTTCAGAATTGAGTATTACAACGGATAAATAGTCATATAATTGCGGAGTCACCTTTCAAAACGGCAAGGACCACATTTTCCTAATTTTGACAAGTCTAAGAACTGAATAGTTATCTATTCTTTACCATCAGAAATCTTCTCCTCATTCTAGTAGCCATCAAATGAGCTTTACACTTTTTGTTGCTTCTTAGAGGTTATAATAGTAATCATATCACACTCTAGACCCATCTTTCTCTTAATCTATTTTATTTATTTACTACTGAGTATTTATTTTTCTATATCTTGTTCAAGTAAATGTAAACATCGTTAAAAAAATTGAATCTGTTGTATTATCAGCTTCCAGTTTCAGAAAAGGCTTCCCATGTTATCAAAGTCTCATGAGTTCATCCTCGTCAAACACACCACAACAAAGCAAACTGACATTCATCTCAACACCTTGCCCTCTCTTTCTCTTACATAAAAATACCAGAACGGTGGAAGACCCTCAATGCATCTTGGCATAACCCAAACATAATACCAAGGTAGGACTATTTAAACTGCAATGCATTTAGTAATATGACTCTGGGCATTGATGAAAATCTCATCACCGTCCAATAATGAAATTTCACCGGTCAAGCCTTTGAAAGGGGAAAAAACATGGCATGCGTGCATAAACAAAGCCTATTTCCCCTCCATTGGGTTCATTGTTACACGATTATAAAGAAAAGTATTGAAAAATAAATCCATCCCTCAACAGTTTAAACTTTTAAACAAGGTAATTCAACAAGAATTTCCAGCTCCTACTTTAGCAAAATGATTAAAATTTAAAATATCCTCGAATTTAGTATACTTTATAATATTATATTCTAAACCCCCTTCCTGAAATTGAAAACATCACCACGCCCACACCCACACACACGCATGGATCAATTTCTTTAACTAAACATTCCAATCAATATTGTCACACTAATTTCCGAGAACCATGTAAAAGCAACTAATAGCAACAAACCACCGGAATGATAATATGCTCAAGACACGAACCTTAATAAGTTTGTGATTCTCTTGAAGAATCTTTGCAGCACCAAGAAGCATTGCAACATGTGCATCATGCCCACAAGCATGCATCTTTCCAGGATTCTTACTTTTGTGATCCCACTCCACCTTTTCCTGGAAAATTTACAACTCTCAAACTCAACAAAACAACACTGTAACACATTTAGGATACCAATAATTTGTACCTCTTTCACAAATTCAAAACTTAATCTAAGCACGGAATTTACAACTCCTAAACTCAACAAAACACCACTGCAACACATTTAGGATACCAAAATTATGTACCTCTTTCACAAATTCACAACTTAATCTAAGCAATTGATCTCAATACATTTTCCACATCAAACAATCAGCATTATATTTATATCATTGTTCAGCGAGAATGAAACGCATAAAGAAATGACAATATTAATCTTTATTCAAAAAAGAGAATAAGAGTCCAATAATTCAACTATTCAAGTATACCTTTAAAAAAAAAAAAAAAAATTCAACTATTCAAGTATAAATACTCACAAACCTGTATGGGAAGAGCATCCATATCTGCCCTTATGGCAACAAAGGGAGGCTTCCCTGAACCAATGGAGCCAATTACACCAGTAACTGCAACTGGGTATTTATAAGAAATCCCCATCTTATCCAATTCTTCTCTGATAAGTTTACTAGTCTCAAATTCTTCATAGCCCAGTTCAGGATTCTCGTGTAATTTTCTCCTTATGCCCACCATCCAATCAAATACCTCAGATTTCTTGGCAAATTTGAGAAAATTTATCGGAATCTCAGAAAGCTCTTTTGAACTCAATCCTAAGCTTGAGAAACTGTGATTAAAGAAAAACAAGAAAAGATAAAGAATCAAGAAAACCCCTTTAGAAAACCCCATGATTTCTTCAATTATTTCTACTCTTTTTGATAACTACAATTAACGTTTTCAATAATCTACAGATGATGAACATCTAAGGAGGGAGAGAGACCTATTAGGTGTTGATATATATATATATATTAATATAATACAGCGGAAGTGGAGAAGTTGGTCTGGTCATTTTAAATTACTTTTTATTTTATCCGGGTGTTTTGAGAATGTGCAAAATGTGGAATATTATTAGAATTTGCCTTCGCAGATATACTTTTCAACGATTTCTGATTCATTCATTCCGTTTTCGGTGACCCATTGGCCATAGCGTCACGGCTGATGCTACGATATTATCACATCTTGTATCATTTCAAATAAGATTTTTATGAGTACAAGTCAAAGCAACAAAATTTAAGATAACTGAAAAGATCATGAATACATTTAGAACTTGTTCTTTGAGTGTTTGTTTGGATAGGGTTATAAAGCTGATGAAATTATAATTGAATAGAAATAGTGATGAATAATGAATAGTAAATGTGGGTTTTATAGAATTAATATTTGATTTTACTAATTAAATATTTAAAAAATTATAATCTCTTCAAACATGCACTAATTTCATATAAACTTTGAGCTATAAAAATATTGAAGGATAAATATCTGGATTTACACTTATTTTTATCTAATAATTATGGTGCGTTTGATTGTCAATATTTTTTGTAAAAAACATTTTTTTCCCATCTAATTTTCCATTTTTTTGCCGTTTGATGAACAATTTTTTCTATGAAATTTTTTTTCCTACTTTTAGTTACATAATCATTTTTCCTTGAAAAAAAGAAGAACATTTTTTTTAGAGATATGTAGTTTTTATTTTCTATGTAATTCGTTCCCTCTTTCTCTCTCATCTACATGCCACTAAAAAACTGGACACGTATAATATTTTTTAGGTTAAAAATTAAATCAATGAAACACAGTTAATTAATAATTTCTATGCAAATAATTTCTAGACAATTGAATTGCTTACAATTTATTTTCTTTCTATGTAAATTCTATTTCATTTCATCAGTTCAATTATAGTGTTCATATTTCTGCAAATCAATAAATAATACATTTCGTATACAATCTACTTCTTTAATCCTATACCAGTATTTTAGTTACACAGATTGAGCATTCACTCATCAGTTCTGTAGGTTACATAGAGCAGCAGTCGCGCCTCAAATCACATAAACACTAATAGCATATTCTAAGCTTCTATCAAAATCAGTAGGAGAAGCAGCCATATTCAGCATAACCACAACCATATCAGTTAGTGTCTTGTCATATTGGTCCTAAACTTATAACTTTAGTAAATTGAATCCAGTATCTAAACTAGGTTGTGCTAGTTTTCAATCGATGGAGGTTTATCTTTCATCCAGTAGTCTTGTATTTTTTTCTCCTTGTTAATTTTACTTAGAAGTGTTAATATAGTAAAAAAATATAACATTTTATTTGAGATATGGACCGTTTAATCATCCACACTGCTTGTGCAACTAAATTACTAAAATAAAAGTTTGAAGATCAAGATTACAAAAAAAAAATGTGGACGAACAAGTTACATGGGATATAAATTGAGAACCTCTTCTGCAATTCAACGGAATTACTTTCTAATCAAGGTCAATCTGAGCCGTTTATCTCAAAGTGCTTAGTAATTTCCTATATAAAGGGACCCATAAGCATTACGTGGGACAGGAGTACAAATATTAATGTAGTACATGTCGTGCCTAATCACAACCCTATTTTTCAACATTTTCTGACTTTTTTCCACCTCGATTCAAATAAATAAAACTTAGGGAAAATTCCACTATGGTCCCCAATCTTTCATTAGTGACAAGCGTGTCTCTTACCTTCTACCACCGTGTTTTTTGTATGTTGTATTAGGGCTGTCCGTGGGTCGGTTCGGTTCGGTTCTGTTCTGAAGAGACCCGAACCGACCCAAAACTTTCGGGTATTTAATAAATAAACCAGTCGGGTTCAAATATAATTATGGAACCGTTCAGGTTCGGTTCCGTTCGATTCGGTTCGGGTTCGTTCGGTTCCGTTCGGTTCCATATCATAATTAAATTTTTTAATATTTTCAGCAACACTACATAAATACAATTAATGACATTTTATTCATAATTTTTACAAATTAACGTAGCCCAATTCAAAAACATATAAAGCACGAGCAATCCCATAAGATTAATTCAATGCATACAAATACCAAAAAGTCGATATTAATATTAAAGCAACACTATATAGAGTATATTCATTTGCTTCAAATTAAAATGGGCTAATGAGTTTTAAAAATGATTTAGGCTTTAAAATTAAAATTATGAAATAATATGATTTNATTTGCTAATTTGTATAGAAAAAAATAAAATAATTTAATTGATTCAATATAAAAAATAAAAAAATTATTTAGTTTCGGTTCTTGTTCGATTCTTCGGTTCTTGGTCTAGACCCGAGACCCGACCCAAACCCATCGGTTCTCGATTAGGGTACCGGTTCGGGTATTTAATTTATGAAGAACCGCTCGATTCAGTTCGGTTTGGGACTTTTGGACACCCCTATGTTGTATAACGTTTTAATTACAAAGAAGGCCACAATTTTTGCTCACTATGTCTTCACGAATTTTAACATGGTACACCATCGCTCACCGACCTTGCTTCATTAGTTACTGAACTTATACCTCCATTGCATTCTACTCATTGAACTTTAAAATATTTTTGAGTGATCAATGAACTTCATAGTCTTTCTAAGTAAACTTGATTTTCCATGATTCAATCTAGATCAAGAAAATAAAATAAATACCTACTAGATAATGATACTTCAGAATACAATATTGGTCAAGAAGAAATAATTTCTCTAGTCGTCAAAAGCTATGTTCAAGAAAAAAGAAGTTTGTCAGTTTCAAATTCAAATGAATCTCAATTTAGATTGTAACTTTTACTTTACATCAAGAAAATAAAATAGAAAAATTATTTCTCTATTTCGATTGAGATCATATATCCAAATTAAGAAAATAAAAATATTATATCTCAATTCGACAATAAGATTTTCGATTTATAGTCAATAATATTAATCAATATTAACAAAATATAATTATTAAAGTTGTCACGAAATAATTCAATGTGAAAGAATGGCATCGTCTTCATGCATGATAATTTATACGTCGGTTTAAGTGAATAAAGTTAAATGACCACTTGAAAGTATTTTAAGTTCAATGAGTAAAATGTAACAGAAGTATAAGTTTAGTGACTAGTGAAATATAATGAATGACTAATCAAATGCGATATGTCAAAGTTCAATGTTAATTCGAAAATATTTTAATGTTCAATGACCAACCAAAACTATTTTAAATTTAGCGAGGACAGGGTGATAAGTTAAGTAACTAATTAACAATTAACACAATGCCCTCGTTTGAGCCTCATTAAATTAAATTTTATTATATTAATTTTTTTTCTCTCTCTTCCTTCATTTTAACTACATATTTATCAAATAAAATAATATTATACACAAATTTAAAATTTTTCGACCACACATTCTCTCATCAATCACTACTATAAAAATTTTCAACCGAAAAAATGGGGGCCAAACAGGGGCAATATTTCCTCGTGTTGGCAAAAAGATACCAAAAAGTAAGTTTGATCCCAGTTTCTAGACTACAGCGTCACTCCCTACTGCGTTTTTCATCGACGACACAAAATACACAGGTTTTTCTCTATCACACACATCAGAAGCCGATGTTTTGTAAAAAGAAATCTTACTTTTGCTTAAAATAATGAAGCAGAAAAACCTCAATCAAAATAAAGAGGGGTTTTAATTTTTTCTGGAAAAATTAGGGAAAAAACTGACAAAAAAAACTTCACCTCCAGATTTTCTTTTACCAGATCTATTTTCGACCCTTCTATCCTAGTTTCTGATTTCTTTTGGTTTTGGGTTTCTGAATCTATTTTGTTCTCCAAATTTCTTGTTTTTTATTTTAGTACATATGAGTTTTGTGTTTGGTTATGATTCAATTTTTTTCGATTTTTCTTCTATATCTTTATGCTGTTTGTAGTTGCATTTCTTGGTTTTGAGAAGGGTTTATTTTGCCCTTTAAGAAAATACCATAAAATAAAAAAATCCCGTAGTTCTGTATGAGATGGGGAGTACTGGAGAGCCCATTAATAAGGGCATTGATGCGTCGGTGGGTGGGTTGGTTTGGGTCCGGAGGCGAAACGGGTCCTGGTGGCCGGGCCGGATTCTCAGCCCCGATGAGTTACCGGAGAGCTCCCTGCTTTCGCCGAGATCAGGGACCCCTGTAAAACTCCTTGGAAGAGAAGATGCAAGTGTGTAAGTGGCCCTCTCTCTGTTTTTTGTTTTTTTACCTTGAATTTTCATTAATTATATA